CATGAGCTGGCAATGTCCTTACAGCCAGGAGAGCCAGTAGCATCCTGGGGTGCATTGGGAAGAGTGTGGCCAGAAGGTCAAGGGAGGTGGTCCTGCCCCTCAGGCCTCGTGAGGCCACCTTTGCAGTGCTGTGTCCAGTTCTGGGCTACTCAGTACAAGAAAGATGTATAAATATCTCAAAGGCGGATTTCAAGAGGGTGGTGCCAAGACTCTTTTCAGTGGTGCCCAGTGACAGGATATGGAGCAATGGCCATAAACTAGAAAAGTAGTTTCACCTCAACGTGAGGAAGAACTTTTATTTGCTGAGGATGGCAGAGCACTGGATCAGGAGGTCTACCTGACCACCAGGGAGCTCATGGTGTCTCCCTGTCTGGAGACAATTAAACCCACCCTATGTAACCAGTTGTATGTGACTCTGCTTTGGCAGGGAGTTTGGAACAGATGATCTCTAGAGGTCCCTTGTTATTTCTATTGGCTTTCCCCCCCTCCACGCAGCCCCCCGAATGAATCCGACTAGCTCAGAGATATGGGGCTGTGAGGGGAGGAAATAGCATGGAGAGAGGGAAAGGTATACAGAAGAGGCTCCTTACCCCAGGGTGTTGGAACAGCTCTCTTTATTCTGTGGTGTCCATGGAGAGCGGGGCAAAAGAGAAAGAGCAGGAAGTTTCAGGGGTTTATATAGGTTTTGGACAGGGTGGGCACTCCTGGCTCCCCGCCAACCCCATTGGGGCAGGAGGGAGGATTCAGGGGTTATCATGATCAGAGCCACAGAGGCCCTAGGAAAGGGGGGCAAAAGGGTGTCCAGGAGCTCACCGTAACAGTCCCTTCCAACCCTAATGATTATATGATTCTGTGAAATCTTTCTTCTCAGGTCTGCTCTTAATCCATTCTCTTCCCAGCCAGTGTTTGCGCTTGTGATTGCCCTGAGGCAACTTGAGCTAATGTGACTTGGCCTTTGGTTCACTTAGGAGCCATTTTTGCACTTATTTTTAGAAATTTTAGATGTACCTTTTCAGGCCTAACTTTAAGAAACTTCTATAACCTTCTCACTGTGTTTACCTAAGGAGAGATTCCAGGATGTGGCAAGAAATTTTACTAAAGTAAAACCTTTTTCAGTATTTTCTGCATCGCAGTGGTTTTTTTTTTTTTGTTTTTGTAATACATCAGAAAAATATGCTTGTGATTAGTGGATGTATACCTTTTTTTTTCTGATTTAGTTTTGTAATGCAAAAAAATATTTAAAATATTTTAAATGTTGAGCCATTAAATACTCTGCTTTATTTAAAATAATGACAGTGTCACTAGTTTTGAAATATTGAGGACCAGTCCTGTCCTATAGGACTTTCTAACTTCTTACTATTTGCACAAAACTCCTCTTTAAACTACTGCACTCACTAAAAGCATAGAAAAAAAATATTCAAGGCTTGGATATTGAAATATAAAATCTCCAGGTGTTCATCAAAAGATGTGAGACAGGGCTTGTTATGGACCCAAAATTCCTGGATTAAATTCTACATGTCAGTAAAGACAAGATCATTTCCTGCAAGATGAATTTGGCTATTGCCATCCAATTACCTGCATCTTCAACTGCCTGTGTCTCCAATAATACTGATATTGATATTAAACCACGTTGAGCCAGAGTCAAGGGATGATGGCAGCAAGCCTGACTTGAACCCCATGGGATCCAGTAGGAAATACATCACGCATCTCAAAAGTGACCCTGTAACAGGTATCAAATTACTGGGTGCTGGGCTTCTCCCAAGGGTAGGTCAGAGCATGGTGGTGAATGAAATGACCCCTCTCTGCTCAGCTGCTCTTCACCCTGAGGCCAACAAGCACAGCACAGCTATAGGGTAAGCTAAACTCCCTTATTGTCTAAACAGTGTGCTTGCGCCCAAAATGCCTTTTGGTGCTTGTCCTTTGCTAATTCCCAGCTGTAGCTGGGCAGTGTATGGAAGCCTTTGACAGGCTTTTTTTGACTTTAGGCCAAAACGCTGCCAGACCTGTGCAGAGAGAACTGCGTAGTTACAGTCGTGTTCCTGGTTCTGGCTGTGCTTCTTTGCCTGGGGCAAATTAATTTCCCTCTTTAGGTCTACTAACCAGCATGCAAGACAAGATTACTGAGCTGACTTGTCCCTGCACTCTTCCAACTCCCATATGCAAGACAGAGAGTCAGACCAGAAGGAACACCACTTGCCCTTTGATACGGTGTGTGTAACACATGCTGGAAAACGGTGGGGAATATTTTAGCAGCACATGGTTTCATGTAGGCATTACCATTCTGGTAGAAACACTGCAGACTGACTTCTCATGCTTTGCTTTAAGCTATGTTAGTAGGAGGAGGCTGAATGTTGGCAGCCAAGTCTGTGCATCAAGGCCACGGGTGACTGTAGGCCCTCCATTCTCTAGTGCCTGAGAGCACTAAAGCCAACAAGAAACTTCAGGGAATAAATCCAATTTTGTTTTTCTTAAATAGCACACGTAACAGTAAGAAAATTTGGGTTCAACTTCTCAAGAGCATATATACTCTTGTCGGCAGTCCCATATACATCTACTGGGGAAAGAGAAACTTTGTAATGTCTGCTTCTTAAAAGAGCAGCAATTACAAAAAGAACTAGCCACTAACAACAGTGTCTTTACTTTTATCTTCAAACAACAGATGGTGTTAATCTGGAGCTTTGCATTCCTAAAAGTGCTGGAATCATAAAACTACTTGCTTCCAGCAGGACCCGGAAACACAATGCATTGCTGGGGAAAACGGTCAAAATGAGTGATCAGAGCAAAATATGCCTACCGCCAAAAAGACTTCATGTGAAATTTTTATCTTTTCACAGGACAAGATCTCACCCAGATGACATTTGCGGGTCTCATTCTGTTTTCTGACATTGTTTAGTCACAATGGCTAAATCAGGAGTGGTTTGTGAGTCTCTCAAATCTGGAGTAGCTTCTAGTGACTGACACGCTTCATGACAAGATAAGACTTAAAAGATCACAGTTGTGTTCACATGCCAATTTTGCACTGGAATAAATAAGCAGCCCTTTGCAAGTAGGTCACATTTCAGCAGAGTTACTTCAGATTTACTTCACTGTTAGCAAGATCAGAATCAGTGACTGCCTGGGATGAAAAGTTAAGGTGACACTGAGGCAATTTCTTTTGTAATTCATGTGGGGAAAGCTAAAATAAATAACAGGAAAGGCCCCCACATTATTAGCTAGTGTGTTTGAAAGAATCCTGCCGTTGTGTTTTATCTTTTCTTAACTGCAAGCCAGAACATTTAAGATTTAATTATTTAGAGAAAGGGGGAGGGGAAGTATGCCTTTTGAAGAAAGTTCCACAGATTTCCAAACACTTCAACATTTCATCATGGCAATCAGCCAGATGCCAAACAAAATGCGGCTTTCCACCAGGGATCTGACAGGTGGCCTTTCCAAAGTTTACACACTGAAGTGAGAGTTGATGTTCTGCTGCTTATTTTTCTGCCTTTTAAGTTATTCCTTTATTGAAGCCAGACTGCAGACATCTTTCCATGTAACAAAAGATAAGATCTTTCCCTGAATACTTGGAGATTTTAGTATGCTTTTATATTACCCATATCTACTCGGGGCATTATTATTCACACATTCAAATGAAGAAATGTTGGGCTGGCAAGGAGGAAAAACACATATGTATGCAGGCAAAAGATAAGCTATTTGAAGCTTCACTGATAACACAGAGCCAGATACTACTGGGGTACAACATGGGGAAAAATCCCATCTTTCCCTCGAGGTGTTTCCCCTGTCTCTGGCTGTGGTGAAGGCTTGCACCCCAACCTCACTCATCCCCTGGCTTATTCTCTGGAGCATCTCCACTCAGCTCCATCTGCCTGGGGCTCTCCACCTGCCACCACACCAAAAAGGTGCCTTCAGGGAGAAATAAATTGTCTGTGCTGCACTGCGCTTTCCTTTATCACGTCTTTCTCTCTGTAGTCTCAGGTTTTACAAATGTATCTGCAGAATTTTTACTGCACCTGAAAATCCTCTAAATTGACAAAATACCAAAGGAGACAAAGTGCAGGGTAACAATGGAAGAATGATAGCTCTAGGTTGTACATCTCACTTTCCTTGCTTCCTTCAGGTATGGTGTTCCTCAAAGTACACAGCAAGGTCCAGGTGAAGAGGTAAAAGAAACTAAAAATTCTGCAGAAACAAATTTCTTGAAGAAATAACAGTCACAACTGATCCCATAGAATTGCTTATGATGGATAGCAAAGTTAGTGAGGCTCATGTCTGATTCAGTTTAACTCAGTTCTGGGACCAGATTCCCATAGCTCGCAGGAGAAAACTTGGAGTGTGCCCTTGCCCTCACTTATATCCCATCTGACCATCATGAAGCCAAAGGAGAGGTGTGTATTAGAAAATAAAGTATGTAACCAAAATTATTAACATTTAAGAGGGAGATTCCAGCAAAGAAAGACCTAAATCCTGACCAAAAGTTTAGTTTATTGTCAGCAAGAAGCAGCAGGGAATACTTCCTCCTGTTGTGTTCATGTTCCAATATTGCACTTTACCATAGCTTTTGAGCAGTTTCTGAAAGCTTCTCATGTGACTAAGATTTGGCCCATATCATCTGTTTGCTCAACATTCCTCAGGGAAGACAGGCATGATCAGTGAAGTTCATTGGGTTGTATTATTTTTGAGGGGTTACTTTAAATTGTGGTTATGTGTGTTGATACAAATCTATACTACAGAAGACAAGGCTGAAAAAGTCACTTTGCACTTGCAGCAGGCAGGCAGACAGTGCTAAATCTGTGCAGGACCTCAGTTCCTGGGGGAATTTATTCCACTGGCTGAAAGCAGCACACATAACCCTTAGTTTTATGGAAAAGAGTCCTCTTCTGCCAAATGGGCAAGGTTGTAGCCCATAGGACTTCTCGTATATACAAGAATGTGTGTGTGTATATGATAGAAGTCTAGACATCATACAGGAGTCCTTGAAAATTATGTCTGTGTTGGAGTTGTTTTACTCTGCCAAAATGCTGTAAAGGGACTTTCCAATTAAACAAATAAAAACCAAAATATATGAGCAAGTATGCCAATCAACAAATTTACTATATGCTACAAGTATTTTGCGCAGAGACAGATCACAGAACAAAGTTCTCTGTCCTTTGTACAGGGGAAATGAAAATATGGTACAATCATGCTGAATTGTCTGTCCTTAGTCATAATCCTCATGTTTTGACCAGATCTTCTCATCCAGCCCTTTTTTTTCCAAAAATCAGAGAAGGGCACCAATGAACCTATTTGCACATTTAAAAAGGGGGAAGTACACTTCAGCATCACATTTTTGTTTAAGATCTCAGTTTCCATCCATTCATTACAATAGCAAAACAACCAAGGGTTTCAGTCATGCAGTTCAAGCACATTGCAAAATAAGCATAAAATTATTTACAATTGTTAGCAACATTCCACAATACTTAGAGCAGGCACAGAAATGCCTGAACTCCTCTGTGAGTAGTAAATAAGCCCATATGGTCTTGTCATCTCTCCTCCCACTCCACACCCTAAAGAACACCAAAAAAAAAAGAAAAGAAAAATAAAAAGAGAGAAGAAAAAGAATAAAAGTAGCTCAACAAAGCAGGCAATTCCTTAGGAATTCTGTTGTATTCAAAATGCCTTTGAAATTGTCCAGCAACTAAACCACAAGCTCCCCCATACTTTCGGTCTCACAAAACAACTACAGAGCATCTTCTGTGCTCAGATGCAGTAATTACAGACAACATGCACAAAGAAAAGCAAATAGAATAATTTCAATTGCCAGAGCCAAATATGAAATTGTGCATCTATAGAGGTAATTACAAACCAAAAGATCAGTCATGGTTCTGGTTTCTTCAAATTACTGTTTTGCCCTGAAGAAAAACAATTATCACATAAGTAATCCTAATAATTTTAACATTTGTTTTGCATATCAGCATCAAATCTGAATGAATAACTTTTTTTTTTTTTTTTTTTTTTAAGTGTGTACTCTGAGCCAAACATTGTGTCTCTAACTTCTAAATCAGGAAAGCCTTGGTCCAAAAAGCCACTGGTGGCAGTGGAAAGACTCCATAGAGCTTTTCACTGTTGATTCAGATATTTTTTTTACTCTTCTTATCTACTTTTAAGTCATTTGTCTCTCTTGCCATTGTAATATAAGGAGCAAAAGCCATTGCAAATATAAGGTGCACAAAGCTGAGAGACTCCAGAGACAAGTAAATATCAAAAGCTGACATATTGTACTGTTGCCTTTCAGCTTTACTGTTGATATATAGGAAACTCCTTTACTTGTTGGTATTGATGGTTAAGCACCTGGTCAATACTTTTGTATATAGTAGTGAAACACCCGAGTACCTCCTGAACCCTTGACCCAAGTCACTGGGGAATGGCATCTAGTTACCACTTCTAGTGTGGGTTGACCCTACAGAGTATCCAAGTTTGTGTAGAGAAAAACACATGCCCTACTGCTTAAGTAGTTGAGCAAAATACCTCAGAGAAAACCAACCTACTGCCATCTACAGACCTTGATGAAGAATCTCATTAAAGAAATTAAAAACACTAATGAAACGCCTTTGTGTCAATGTGATGTTTGGAGTACACTTGGCCTTTGGAAGCATTCACCATACATTCCACGCCTCTCTAAACCTATGATGTGTTGTGCAGGGGAGAAAGAAACACAAATGAAAGCACACCTGGCTGCTTTCAGGGACATTAGTTCTCAGGAGTCAGATCACAGCTGAAAAACCAGAAACAGAAATTAGTGTTATAACAACAGTGGGAGTGATCTTGATGAAACCTTGAAAGGTGGCCTCATTTCAGGGGCAATGAGGGGAGATCAGGTCAGGCTTTTCTGCTTTTTTCCCTATGGACAAGCCAATCTCCATAGTGAACCTAGCTCACACATTCTGTCAAGGATGAGCTGTTGAGCCAATGAAGGAGCAGGCCAGGCTCGTGCTTGATGCCTCGTTTGGGCTCAGCTCAGCATCCATATGAAGATCCCAGCCAAAAGAACCAAAGCCAGCAGGGATATTTTGGCACCTTTTTCTGGCGGCCACAGCGACCTTGCACATCTATTATGTATTTTCTTTTTTTTCATACTTTACATATTTAGTCAGCCTTGTTGGCCGATGTCTGATTTTTTGGCTTGTTTCACTATGGCTTGGCTGTACCTTTGATCACTTGGCTTGCCCAAGTCTAGTATCACTTGATTTGTAAAGCTGCTGCAGTTTCTTAACTGGACAGTTATAGACTGGAATCTATTTATGAAAGTTTTAGGTTAGCATTGCATGCCACATATTAACTATTTTTTTCATTCATTCATTCATTCATCATTTGTTCATTTGTTCATTCACTCATTCATTCATCTTGCTGAATACAGAGCAGGAGGATATACATAAATTTGGGAAGAAGGCAGAGGACAAAGACTATGATCTGTAAAGGTTATGAGCCCTCCTCGAACAACAGTGCCGTTAGCAACTCCGCACAGGATTTTTAGGGTGTTCTGTGACACACATTATCTCATATTATGATATATAGTTATATATTTGCATATATCTATAATTGTTAAGTTCTCTTTCCAAAGGACACACTTATAATGTCTTACCATACCTTACCTGTAGGCAACAGCTTTTACCTGAGAGAAAGCTCTCAAATGGTCTAGCAGTGCAAAGGACTTTGCACAGCATCTGCATTTCACCCTGTCTCTAGCAAAAAGAAGCTACCAAGCACTGCAGCACCCTCCAGCCCCCTGGCTCCCACTACCATGCTCAGAAGTCTACATGACACAACAGTACCCAGAATATCTGAGAAGGACAGCATACAATTACAGAGGCAGGTAAGGTTCCTGACCTGGGGAACCTGCAGACTAGAAAGGATCACTTCTTATTTCTACCTCCTCTCTCCTTTCTCAAAACACTTCTGCTTGACCCTCCTATTTCTGCCTTCATATTCCTCTTACTCATGCCAGGCTTCCAGATCTGCCTTCTTCAGCTGTGCTTACTCTTTTCTCTGTGGTCATTTCCACCTCCCTCCCTCCCTGCCTGGCCCTAATCCCCTCAAGCAGATGGAGAAGGGGAGAGGAGTAGCGTGAAGGCACCTGTAAAGATTCTCAAGCCACAACATTGGGCTGCTTGCCAGCTCACAAGAGGTGTTCCTTGTAAAATGTAATGCAATGGGGCACAACAGGTCAAGTAAGGAGAAGATTCCTCACTAAGAATCACGTTAATATATTGCAAAAATACTTGAAAGGACCAGTGCTTTCTCCTGCTCTGTTATGTGCTCTATGGTGAAATCTTTCTTGACTGAAAAAGTGCAGGAACAGCGCAAGTGTGAATGCCTCCTCCCTCACTGCCCGCAAGGTGTTTCAAAGCCTATTCATGACGGCTGTCATGCTAGAAAATGCAAGCACATGCTATAGGCACATTCCACAAGCCAGGCTGCCTCTCATGATTTCCTCCACGTGAGTTTGGGGGCTGAACAGAGGCTGCTTTAACTTGACACTTTTGTTTCAGCCCCAAGCAAGCAGACAATTCCTGAGGCATCTGCAGAGAGTAGTTGGTGTGTGAGCAGTCACCTGCAAAGCCCTGGCTGCTAATAAGTCACTGAGTCAGGGAGGGCTTTCTGCAGCAGCAATCAGGCTGTGGGGCATTGCAGGAGTAGCCTCTGCCCCAGGAAAAGGGCTGCATGGCTTTTTCTTTTAAATGGCGAGATGTGATCACAGGCAGAATAAAACCAGAAGAAAAACCCTGACCAATAGCCTAGTGGCTTGTGAGAGAGCTGAGTCTACAGAAGGTGCTCTTCTGCCTCATGCAGTTGGGAAGACCCACCATAAAAGAAGCTCCACTGGGGCTAAGGCTTGATCCTGACTACCCTGAAGAAACAGCAGGCAGCATGTAGCAGAAACTCCTCAGCTCTGCTCCCACAGCAGCATGGCTTTGCTCTAGCCTCAGTTAAAGACCCAGCAGGAAAAGCCACTCTGAGGCTTACAAGGGGCAAATGTTTTCATTTCTGGGGCCAGATGCTGATTTAGATTATGGCCGGAATTACATGAATGACATCCCTTTCTTCCTGAGGAGTTTCATGGTGATTTAACACACATGGGCGCACCAGAATATGTTTAATATGCACAGAGTTTAGCAGGAACTAGTTGCCTTCCTCTCTCCCCTGCTCGAGGTCACACTGCATCATCCCACAGACTGGACTCACCCAGATCTTCACTGTGTTATGGGCACTTCCCATATTCAGTGTATGATTGCAAAGAAGTTTTCCCCTCCAGTCTTACACAATTCCTCTTGAGGTAAAATTACAAGAGGGAGCTTAAGGGGCACATTATCATTTGTGCCACAGCCAAGGAATGAGCCCCATTCTAATAAGCAAGCACACAGGAGGAGGTAGGGCCTTTTCTTCTCTGTGTTCTGCAACTCAGTAGAGATTTGGAGGTGGAAATAGGACTGCAAGGTGTAAGATGATTTACATATTGAATATGACAGTATTCCTGATTCCTGTGTTAATATGTAATGTTATTTCTTCAAGATGTGTGGTCATAACTGGGAATTATTGAGGGGGGCTCGGGACTTAGAAGATTAAATTTTGATTTGCAGTCTTTTATGTTTGGAGCATTTTTTCTAAAAATGCTTCCATTCTGCCAGCAGCCTTTTTGCCTACTGTGCTGGTCAAAGCCCTCAGCTGTGCCATAATCAGAATGACAATAACAGATCTGTTTGAAACCATCCAAGTGTCATCTTGTACAGAACAGCCATGTTGAAATATGTTTGTGTAAGGATGAAATAACTAAGAATGGTTACATTTCTCTTCAACCATGAGTTGCATTTGTTGCTTTGCATGTAAAAACTCTGCCCAGAAGAAGAGGTATTAGGCAACTGTGTCTCCACTCAAAAGCTGTCAACTGGAAAAACATAGCAGTTCATGTTCTAGACCACCAGCATTTCTCTGATGATTGCTGAGCTCAGATGAGCAGTGTAATGGAAGTAGAAGGACTGTCCAGATCAGTTCCAATGACAACCATAACAATAACTATAATGAAAAAGACAGAGAGAGAGAGGATAAAACCCAAGAAAGACAAGTGATGCCCAATACAGTTACTCACTATCCAATGATCAACACCCAGTCCATCCTCAAGCACTGACTGGTGGTTCCTGCCAAATACCCCCAGTTAGCACAACCTTCTCTAGTATGGGGTATCACTTTGGCTAGTTCAGGTCAGCTGTTTTGGCCATGCTACCCCCTAAATCCCCATGTTCCTGCTCACTGGCAGAGCATGAGACACTGCAAGTCCTTGATTTAGGGTAAACATTACTTAGCAATATCTAAAACATCAGTGTGTTATCAACATTATTCTCATACTAAATCCAAAACACAGCACTGTACCAACTGCTAAGAAGAAAATTAACTCTATCACAGCCAAGCCCAGGGCATTAATGAATAGTGATTAAAAAGTGGATGCATTTTGACCACATTAGTCTAACTGTGGTGTATATCACAGGATATTAGAAATGCCACTTTGCTAACAGCCTTTAATTAAGTTTGGTCTGCATAGTATTCATGTAGTTACCAGGCTCACAGCAGGCCGACATAGACCCAATTATACCTGGGGGATATGGTCTAAGATTGATGGATTCCAGTGGTTCTGAGGTCAGGAGTTGAGTATTCAAATTTAAGGAAATACAAAATTAAACAGTTTCAGAGAAACTCCCCCATAAGATGCAAGAAGATCGCAACAAAATGGTACCAGTGTCACTGAAATGGAAATGCTGGTGTGTTACTGAGTTCCACTACTATGAAGCTAGAGCAACCTCCTCTTAAAAGTCTCTATTTTCTAAACAGGCTTAGTGCAGGAGATTATTCAAGAAAATTGGAAATAGCTAATCAGAGCTGCACAGTTTACCTATTGTAAAAATTCTTAATTTTCTGTCAAATGACCAGAGCAAGCACATACATTGTTGGCAATCCTGCTGCAAATGTAGTCTTCTTCATTATAGGTCTGCCATTGCCAATGTAAGAGCTAAATATATTAACAGCTTAGTTCACAGCCAGTCTAAAATAACCAAAACAAGATAAATTGATAAAGCATTTAAATTATTTTTTTGGTTACATAAAGTATTGAGAGTTTATATACACAAGCAGACAAAAGTGGAATAAGCTGGCTCAGAAAACATATAGGGATTACTTGTAACATAGGAAATTTAAATGAGGTAAAATTATTTGCCTTGGAAGAAGGAATGTTAGAAATGTAAGAACATCCTACAACAAAGACCAATGCTCTTAGTGAGAAATGAGATTTTTGGGCAAACACATCACCCCGCTTAACGCCAACATTGGATATTCAGTTCAGCCTGCCCTGATTTCAGCACGAGATTGGACTATCTGCTAGCTCTTTCCATGGCTCCCTCCAAGTCACGATTGAGGCACAGAGGTTAATTTAGTCTGGTTAGTTCTAGCCCTGCCATTATGTCAGCTCCTCCTGTTTTCTGGATCAATGGCAGCCTCCGGTTATTACCCAGTGGCCTCAGTCCAAGGCTGGACTTTCCAAAGGCTGAAGCATAAAAGAGCAGAAGTCTGATGCTGGTGATGAGCCAGAACACTTGGTTTCCAAATCAAGATAAAACAGCAATAATACTTTTTTTTTTCCTCCTGTGTGAAAGATCCTGTTTTTTTGATCTGTCCAGTGTAGATCTCATCAGTAAAGAGCTTTTACACACATTTTCATACACCGCTGCC